CTTTTTTATTCCTCATGCACATCTTTTATCTAATTTAACATATAGTTTGTGTCAAAAAAATTCCTTTGAACAAAACAATTGGGCTTTCATGATATCACAGATCATCTAGGAAGCAAGGAAAGTAAGCTGTGTGTCGTGGTTTAAGCCCAGGCCGTAAGTCAACCACGCAGCCCTCTCTCTCACTCCCCCACTTTCTTCCACCATCCCCTACCCCCCAACCCCCCCGAGGGACAGGGAGGAGAATGAAAAGAATGTAACTCCCATGGGTTGAGATAAGAATAGTCCAGTAACTAAGGTATAACACAAACCACTACTGCTACCACCAATAATAGTAATGATAAGGGAAACAAGAAGGGAAGAGAATACAATACGACCCGTCGATACCCAGCCAGACTGAGCAGTGAACTTGCCCTTCCAAGTAACTCTCGGTTACATCCTGGGCATGACGTGCTGTGGTATGGAATACCTCTTTGGTCAGTTTGGGTCAGGTGTCCTGTCTGCTTCCTCCCAGCTTCCCCTCCTCCCTGGCAGAGCATGAGACTCACAAAGTCCTTGGCCAGACCAAACATTTGAGCAGTAATTAAAAACATTGGTGTTATCAGCGCTGTTCCCAGGCCGAAAGTCAAAAACACAGCGCTGCATCAGCTACTAAGAAGGAGAAAAAATGACTGCTACTGCTTAACCCAGGACACTGTGGCAGAATAGAAGAGGATGCTATTCTCGGTCCCAGTGGGCAGCAAAGCTAAGCAAACAAGAGCTACCCACTGAATTGAGTTCATTCACTCTTGAAAGAAAAATGCTTTTTCACTGTAGAAATGTATGCAATTATCGTCTTTCTCTCCCAGTCACATGCATATACTTCTGGCATTAACTCTGGCCTTTAGAGGATGCTTTTTATGTCCCTATGGGGGAAAAAAAAACTAAAGATAAAAAAAAAAGGAAGCTGTAAATGGACAAGCACTTCTGGCATAAAAGTGCTAAGCCACCAGCATAGAGAATAGTCCGTGACACTCTGGCCTCAAAGATTTTAAAGGATGCATCCAAGACCATATCTGAATTATGCTGTGCTGAGCCAGCTGAGATGGTTGGCAGCAATAACTTGTTTTCTCATCCTGCATAGGGATGTAGGATGAAGTGTAGGGAACCTTGATGAAGTCTGCTGCTGACATTTAAATAATTATACACTCTGTATACAAACAAGAGAATCTGATGTTTCAGCAGTGATGGGCCTGATTAGTTTTTAATGATGATGAAGCTAGCACTTTAATGGCTTATGTTGAGCTTTTGAAGCCAAATTTTCAGTGAGCTGGTTCATGTGGAAACATAATGCTTTTATTGGCATATTCAGCTATGTGAAGGTGTGTAGATACTGCCCAAGTCTAAATTGTGCATTAAACACATGCTCCTCATTGTCCCAAGAGCAGACTTCATTCAGGGAGCAAATGTGACCCCCTTCACACCTGCACAACTGTTTCTTTCCCAAATAAACCACAAATCTGAAGGTGGACAGTAAATAGCATGCATGTGGGTCTCTCCTGAACATTTTACAACATATCTAGTAGATTTATACATAGAAGCTGAGAAGTGCTTCTGGCTCAGTTACTTTAGACATAGCCACTGCCATTTTTCTGTCTGCTGCACTTCCAGTGAAGCGGAGTTTCTGTTCTGTGATGGTAGCTATGAAGCAGCTACTATTTTATGAGAGTAATTGGTGCAACATATTAAAAGAGCATTTTTAAGATGGATACCTTACTGATATTCTTTCTTGACTTGTTGCTTTTCTAGATATTAATATCATCAGTCTGAAAAAGAGTGGATACTTTATGTGTATACTAAAAAAAAAAATCTATTTCCATACAGTAAATGGAAAGTGAGAATGTTCAACTCTGCCTGGTGGCTTCAAGAAACTCACTGAAGTTCATGTTATTTAATAATGCTGTGAAGATGTGGTATTAGGAAAGCATTACTCTTGACCAGGACTACAGAGAATCAATTCACATGTCATTCTTAGGTGAAGATAATTTGTCTGAGTTGGTGAAGTAGTATCAAGTCCTCAAAGGGGAGATGTTAAGCCAATTCAGGAAACAGGTGTAAGCTGCTCAAAAGCCAACAAAGAGACAGTGTTCTCCTACTTCCCTTGCCACTCAAGTGTGCCTTGTAGCCCTTCAAAACCAGCACCAGACAGAAATAAATCAGATGGCCTATCACTAATATACTATTTATGCTTATTTTAATTAAATAGCAGGAGATAATGTGGGATTTTAGGGGTTGATTTGATTACATCAAATAAAGGTTCCTCAAAAAGAAAATTGCCAATTTACCTTCCTGTCTGGAGGTAGGTGAGAAATACTTTTTCTCTCCTACTTTATCATCATAGAATGGTTTGGGTTAGAAAAGATCTTGAAGATAATCTAATTCCAACTGCCTTGCCATGGGCAGAGATTATTTGAATAAAAAAAAATCTCAAAATTGTTCCCATACCCCAAGAAAGACATCTAGAAACTCACATTAAGATATTGTCATAGATCAGAGACATGTTACAAGTCCACTGTCATACACTTAAACGAAAAAGATATTTATGCTTTCAATATGCAGGTTTTCTTAAGCATAACATCCATGAATGGTAAAATAAATTAAGGATATTTAGTGTCACACTTGGAGACCACTCCCATAGGGGATTTGGGTTAGAAGCTGAGACAAAGTGTGTTTTGTAGGCAGTTAAATGTCCCCCCATTTTAAAGGCTGTAATAAAACATGACACCTTTGGAATTAAGAGCTTGTGTTTTGTTCAGCTCAGGTCAACATAGACAGATTTTAAAATTTTAAGTAACAGGAGCAACAAAACCTGATTTCCTAAAAATGTCTCTCATGGCTGGATTCACTGGCACCTTACACAGTGTCAGTTCCAGCTGATACTCTTCCCATTTCCAGTGCTTGAAGCATATAGACTTTCCCATATAGACTCTCCTGTGCTTTGTAAGGGTAGAGCTCATGCTACAGTGGGCACCCCCTTTACAAGGCTGCTGAAGCTGCCTCTTCTCTGCCCTCCTGGAAATTGTGTAAAACATAATACCTTTGAGACAACTACTTCTTCCAAATTTTGAATCATTCCTATGACTTCTTCTACCGTCATCAGACACAGATCAAACAGATACAGAGAGGGATTTTGTATAAGTCTTGCTTCCTTCTGAAACTGGTAAAAAGGAGTTGCCATGCATGCCCCAGTAGGACTGTGACAGGATTGTCACAAGACAGTTAATGACAGAGGATACAAGGAAAAAGAAAAGAAAAAAAGAAAAGAAGCATCCTTTGATCTGTTTAGTGTGTTCCCATTTTCCCTCTTCTCCTTAGCAGTAGAACTCTACATTGCTAGTTGACATTGACTCAGTCTCACTCACAAACTTGGCAGGAAGGAGAAAACACTGATGCTCTGAATGGTGTTAGCTCATCCTGTTGTTCCCCAGCATATTATGTTACCTTAACCACTGGGAGAAGGATCCCTTTAGTTCTCACATTGTGGTACTAAGACATATACAGCATTTAAAATGTAATATTAATTTGCATTGGTTGCAGATGGCAGTCCATTTAGGACATGGACAGAATAGTACCTGTGTGAGTAAATCACAAATGATGTGACAATTTTTTTAAGAGTATCTTCTAACAGTGTGTCAAAGCATTCTTCTTCTACAGTGCATTAAAAGAAATCTTACACTTGAACTGCTGAGAAAATAATTCATACCGATTTTTTTTAAAGCCTGAATCAGTCCTCTTAACATAATTTCCTGAGCTTTGAACTCATTGAGTCTTCTAATAATGTCCTTAAATGCGGGAAGGAGGTAATTTTCTCTCTCAGTGCCTTTAGGGGATCATCAATCATGCATCACTCGTAAGTGTTAGCATTGTACCATGGCTGCTTTTATTTAAATAATAAAATAAAAAAAAAACACAGCCTAATCATGCATGGAGAAAGTGTTGTAGAGCAAAAGTTTCCATTTCTAAATTGCACAGTCTTTGTGCTGAATTGCTGTACCTCCTGCGAGGCAATTTTAGTATAAAGCCCTACAGTGATTCGGATCCCTAGCTAGAGTAATTTTTTTTACAACCTTTCCTTCACCCACTGCCACAACACATTTCTATAACAAGCAAATTCCATGGATGTCATCAGAACAGATTTATAAATGAGTTGTACTGTGAAAGTGTCACAGAAAATGTACTTATTAAAGCAAGGGATGATACAAGTATTGAGCTATCTGAAAAAACAAGCTACTTTTATTTAAATCCCAAGAAATAGGCACCAAGATATTAAGAACTGGTTTGGCTGAGCACTTATTCTCAAGCATTTGCATATTCAGATAATTTTCAGTGTTAAACTACTGTCAAATTAATATACTAGTCTTTTCCACTTGAAAAGTGGATTAGATCACACAAAATGTGATGGTCTTCATCTGAGCCCTCAACTGACTTTTTCCACATTACAAAAATCAATATTTGCTTTTCCAAAAAAGAACTGCAATTGGCAGTAGGTGATTAGCAGAAACGAAGTCTGAATACTAACTGTACTTGGTGGCAGTAAATGGGTAAGAGGAAAACATGAAATAATTCTGAATCTCGCTGTTTGTTGAAAACAGAGTATTTCCATATTATGCATTACTTCTTTAAGAAAAATAAATCAGAGATGAAACAAAATATCCCTGGTGCTTTCCTACTTAGGAACAAAGTTCTGTTTCCTAAATATACTGCTGCACAGCAAGAGACATCTCTGCTCACCACTCCAAGAACCCACAGCACAATGTGCTTGGTCAGGATCACACTCCCAAGAACTGTTCTCTGCTTCTCTCAATCACTCTTTCACTTTCTCCTTCAGTTACTTTCACATACTTTTCCATTCAAACAACACTATCTGAACATCATTCACTCCTTTAATACACATTTCTAAATGGTCTTACATGAACCTTTGCTGTGGGCAGTTGAAGCCCATTTTTTGGCACAAGAGACATTACTGTTTCATGAAGATGCTTATTTGTTTCTAAACGTTTGCGGGAAAGGAACACATATTTTCCCACTATGGCTTCATTACACTTTAAACCAGACTTTCATGAGGTATATATAGCAGCAGCAGGAGGGAGCAGCCTACACTTGAGGCTAGCAGTCTCACAGAAATACTGTGCAAATACGACTTACTGCTTTCTTCTCTTTTGTGCAAGACTTGAATAACTGGCACTGCCTCATGCCTGTCAAAAGACTGCTCTGTAAACCCGTTCTCAGCAAAAAGGCAAATATAAGTAAAATGCACATGTTCACCAAGTCTGTTTTTTCACCTTTTGAACTCTGGAACAGCTTTTTAAAGCAATCAGCTATAAGTGCAAGCGATACTCTGCTGCTACTTAGCCTCTTTTCCCAAGAAACCCATTTGCAAAATATTATTTGTTTATTTCTCTCAGGACAGAAATAAGCATTAAACATGGGAAAGTTAATACACTTCATAATGATAAACCAGGAGTCTAAATGAGTACAAAAACTTGCTAAGGCAAAGACTTCAGAATGATTTTAAAGCTCTAATAGGATTCCTTGCATACATTTGAAACATATACGCACACAAAACACTGACTCGGGACTTGTCACTTTTGTTTCTATTATTATTATGACTTTGCAAGCTGTGTCTTATTAATGAGCATTTAGTGCAGTGCTTTACCTATTATGGGAACCACTGTATCTTTGACATGTCCGCCTTTTTTCTGAGAACCATACCCTAACTGTTATGAAACTGCAGCTACTTAAGGGAGTACTACAGGTAGCAGAAGCAACACAGAGTAGAAAATTGCATATTGACAAGACAGTCCAGCACAACACAGAAATACATATGCTACCTCAATGACCAGCAGCAATCTAGCATGGGCCAAGTGTGGTACCTCCTCCTGCAAGGAAGGGAGACATTGAATTACCCCTGCTAGCATTACATAAGACTCACCTCATCATTGGTTTTAAGCACGCAAATATTTGGTCTTCTTCCTTTGCCAGCCACCCAATTATGCACACGGAGAGCACACACAAAGTTTTTCCTCCTTGCAGAAGAGAAGATACACTACTGGTCACTGCACAAGGCTAGCACTATGAAAGCACTTACCCTGTCCAAGAGGGGAAGATAAAGGTAAGTCACTAAACACAGTCTTGCTTCTGTAAACACAAGCCACAAAACTGGGCAAACACAAGGTAAATCTCCTTTAAAGGTCAGATGAAGTATGGAAGCAGATTTTGCCTTCTGCTTAATTCTCGCTGATTCAACTTAATTTGTAAAGTCACCAGGGACAGTTTAGCTCCCACAGCTCTGTCTTTTCTCATTCCAGAGGCATATATGATGCAACACTATGTGTGAGCAGTCTGGGCTGGACTGTGCTTTCAGAGGTGCAGGCCTTTTTATCTCCTGCAGCACTCCCAGTCTCCCACCGGACATCTGATGCCACTGGCAGTGTTAATGCAGTACTTTCCTGAGTATGTGTCACTTCCGTATGAGAGCACAAGTTAGAGAGGTTTCCTGGAAGTCCTAGTTATATGTACAGAGACTCACACGCTTGGTCTTGTAGAAGGAAGCAGTCTACTGCAGCATACATACACGATGGGCACCTTCTCTGATCCAGATCCTTTTTCACAGAACTTCCTCAACTGTTCAAATCAAGACTTAGTAACTGACCCTGCCAGTCAGAATTGCAATACTTCAAGTTTCTTTCTTGTACCTCCAGGCTTTGTTTGGCTGTGAATTCATCTGCCAGGCAAACAAGGATGAAAAGAAAAATGTGAGCTGCTTAGCAGGAAGCTGTATCCATTTAAAGCAAATCTTCAAATAGGTATTAAAATGCAACCTTAGCTTTTCTTCTGCTGCACAGAAACAGCCTCAGTGAGACAGTCACTATTGCCTGTTTACAGAGGAGATTTTTCTCATTCTAATGTTTGCTTTAATGGCTGTTTCAAGTGCAGCAGATAACCAGCGAACAGTCAAATTTTGTGCCTGTGAAAGAGCTCTTACAAGCCGAAATCCCACAGCATGTTCACTGCTAAGCAACATTAAGCTCCTAGCCTCTACTTAGACTCTGATATTCTTTGCTTTCCACATTCACACTCTGATCTTCATCACACATAAATCTTTCAAGTGGTCTACATGTATAAATGCTGACCACTGCCTAACCCTGAAGTACAACTACTCATCCGCCAAACCACTTCTCCTAAAAGAAGGAAGTAAAGGAAGAAGGCTGATGATTGCATACCTGACCAGGTCTTGCAAAGATGGGAACCAATAAAAGCATGAATATTTACAATGGGAACCTGAACAAGGGAGTGCTTTTACCATCCAGTAATGCAATAGGACTTGGGAGAACTATTCTTGCTCCATTTACTAGCTTATAGGCAGAGACTGCTGTTCTGTAACAGTAACTATCAAACAGATTTGATTTGCTGGTTTGTGCCTGAAGGAGTTGTGAAAAGTTTGCAAAAAAGTTTTTCTACCTCCCTTGTTGCCATGAGTACCTAATGTAAGAACAATTCTCAGAAACTAAGGTGCAAATCTTACATTTTGATTCTTTTGCCTGTTAAAGGTGAACCTTCTTTTATAGGAATCAGCAAGAGCACCACTGACTGAAAAATATACTAATCAATCTGTGTTACAATGACTCTTCTCATTTTCATATGCTCATTGCAGTTTAGGAAAAAGTACTCAGAAATTCAATAATAAACATTTCCTGAACTTAAAATTTAAATAATTGTTGAAAAAAAGGTGAAAAAAGTGCCACAAATGATATCCTTAGGAAAAATGCCAAACTGGGATCAGACTAGGAGTTATGCTCCTATAGAGCCTCATTCCACAATAAATTAAGAGGATTTGACTTCCGGAGAGAACATGGCACAAATGACCTCTTCTTATATGCCTACTTTTTTTATTGGCAACTGACTAACAGGTTCTGCTTGACCTCCTTTATTCCATTAAAATTTTAACTACTTATTATTTCAGCTCATTTGTTTTTCACCAGTTCTGTCTTCCTGGAAATGAGCATAAGTAGCATACCCATACTGTATTTTAACATCTTATTCAAAGACACAGTACTGACATGCACAAATACCCTACTTCTATGGAAATCTGTTCTACTTCTTGTAGCTAGGCTAGCAGGAGTTTTTTGTTTGCTTTTTTTTTTTTTTTAACACAGATCAAGTCATTCTTCTTGAACAGAATCATAGCCTTCTCTGCTAAAGTTTCATAAATACAAAGCGAGGTACAAACAGAATATTTTCAGACATCATTAATTCCTCTACTTCCCTGCAGGAATCAACCTTTGTAAATATATCGATTACTTAGAAATATAGTGAATCTCTGCCTTGCTGAAAGGCAGGGTATTTGCGGCATGACTTGGTGTAGTGTGCAACTACCATGCTAACCTGTTGGAGACAGCTTTCACTGCCTTGGTGAACAAGCTTGAATCTTGCAATATAGCACCTTCTTCTTCCAGGTATCCCACTTCTCAGCTCTAGTCCTTTCCTCGGTGATGTTTTAAGAAATACAAAAAGCATCATTTTATCCATCCAGATGTTCATTGAGTCACTTCACTGCACCATTGGAGAAGAAGTCCACACTACAAGTACAGCATAAAATGTGAGGAAGGAACAGCATGATGGGAGAGCAGGGTTCTGCCTACAGCATAGCTGCAAACTAGATACAGCCTGGTTTTCACTGACACCTGACATTTGCAATGAGTAAGTTCTATACTCGTCCATCTCCCCAATCCAGGATGCTTTCTGAGCAGTAAGAAAATATTGTTTCCTACATGGTTGAAAAGATATTTGAGAGGATAGGCTGTGCAACCTTTTGTTGTTGGTGTGCAACAGCACAGCATGAGACAGGAATCAATCTCCAGCGCACAAATCTGAGTATTATTATCCCCCAAGTACACCTTTGAATGGCATCTCTTTCACAGTAGCCCCTTTACAGCCTTATCCCCATCTTCTGTTCTTTTCTTCACAACTACTTTAATTCTCAAAGTCTTGCTCAGCTTCCCATGGAGTACATGATGCAGGTGGAAGCCTTCTCTTGCTCTTACTTCCCAAACCTGTAGATTTTCTCTAGCTCAACACATTTCTCTTCCCTCTTCTGTTCCTCCTTTTGCAGTCCAGAACCAGGCTTCTTTCTGTTTCTTCACACTTACTACTCTTGCTGTAAAGACCTTCTCATCTGTAACCTGCCATCTGAAACAGATTGCCTTTTTCTCTCTACCTCATCAAGTCATTCCCCTTTTTCAAATTTTAATCAAAAGCATAGATTTTCTCCCTGTCCTGTACCTTTTAATTTTTTTTCCTTTGTGCTATCAGCTTTATGCCTGAATGCCTTAATTATCTCACTGTAGAATGTCTTTACACAATAACTTTCTGTAATTTATAGTCTTCTGTATCTGTGAGGGATATATCAGAGTATATTATTTATGACATTTTCTGTAAAACAGAGCACAATTGTATTCCTGTGGTCTGTCAAAAAATCAGTCTTATGTATAACAAAATTATGTCCTGGAAAGAAAGACTGTATATCACTTCTGTACAATAGAATTAATAAATAAACCGCTTTATGGTATATCCAATTAGCTTGTCTTTTTAAATTTTCAAATAATATTTAGATCATCTAAAGGGTAGAACTCATTTCAAGTAAAAGCAAGGTTTATGGCCAAGTTAAATGAGTAAAACATGGTTATGACCAAGGCTTTCTGCTTAGTTTCATGAATTATTGGTATGCATTAGAAACTTTATACACCTGCTCCAGAATTTTAAATTTACTGTAGGTGCAACTCCAATTCCTACTGAACAGCTGACAGCTTCACAAGTGGGCTCTTTGCAGAGGCAATCAAAGGACAAAAAGCAAATGACAATCCAAAGCTCATGATGGATAGCACCGGATGTGTCTGAACCTGTCCCTTAAGGAACTGCTGGTCCTTGCTGCACACTCACAATTTCATTGTCAGTGCCATTATGCCATTACAGGCTGTAACAATATCGTCCCAGAAAAAGTGCTGTCCACTGATGGGGGACACAGAGATATTCACACTGCTCTTGCCCACACTCAGATTGACTGGTGGATAGAATTTTACTTGCTAGTTTCTGCATTAATTATGCTTTTTTTTTCATAGAAAGCTTAAGAATTACAAAGATTTTGGACATATAAATTGCATTTATATTTTACTGGACTTAATTACGCCTAAAAAACTAAGTACTAGTCTAGGTCATACTCCCTGGCAGTAATCTTTCAATAATACATTCTCAGAGAGGAAAGCAGGAGACAGAAGATAAGGAAATCAGTTCAGGAGAAAAGGAAGCCAGGCCACAGTATACTGAATGGAGACAATAAGGTCGTATGGCCAAGCAAAAAAAAATGTGGAGGAAAGAAGTAGACATTAACGTATGTGCAGTGTGAAGAAAGGATATGCAGGAGAAGAAAACCTAATCAGGTCCTAATGACTGCTTTTAATGTTTTTCAAATGGAAAACAAAAAAATCCGTACTCATCTTGCTTTAGATGAATGAGATAGACATGCTTAAGATAATGCTTTTAGAAATGTTTTAGATAAAAGAGATGAGCGTATTTATTTGTCTTCTAGCCTTAGTTTACCACATCACCCATTACTGTGGTTGACACATGGATGACATGGCTCTAGGATAGGATATATCCTCTCCATTAACATGCTGTTGCTAACCTGAAAATGTGAGAGAATAGATTCCTTTGCAACTCCTTTCTGTATTTCAGAAGACGATTTCTTTCTTACAATGTAAAGATTTTAAAATAAGTAAAAACGTGTTCTGGTCCCCAGTTTGCTGCACTGCTAATTCTAAAGCAGTTTAACACCACTGTGGGAATCACATGCTCCACCATTCAGGTAAGACAGTGAAAAGGACAAAGCTGATTTTGCAGAGCTCTGTAAATATACCAATGAGAACTGAAACAGATGCAGAGAGCAGTTTTCCGGGACAGTGCTTTTACAGTCTAAGCAGTTACTGACATACCTGCACTGTGTCGCTAAGGCAGGCTAAAATGGGAGTCCAGGGCCATGGGCAGGGTGTGGGGGAACCTCCAGGGGAGGCTGGATTTCCTTCAGGGCCCTCATAGAAGTAACAGACTAAATGTAAAGAAGTAACTATACATCAAACTCTCCACTAAAATTTTCCTAAGTAACAAAGAAGCATACATTGTTTGAGTTTCTATCAAACATACACCACACACAGCATAAAAATTCTATATGTTGCTTCCAGGTAGAAAATATCTAAGCATTTAGCAGTGCGCTGTACTACGTAAGTCAAAGCATACACTGGGCTGATTAGAGCAAAACCACTCGCAGCTTTGGGCTGACAAAAAGCGTGCCTGTCACTGTGGGAAAACTATTTCACAACTGAGAGGAATTTGTCTTAACTTGTTTTGCTCATTTTGGTTTAAAGACAATGTTCATTGTCACAGAAACAGAAGAATTGTTTCTACAGTCAAACAAGCCTCGGGGAAAGAGGGAGAGGAGTTGGGCTCACACAGCATGAGAAGGCAGTCCCCTGTCTTATGAAGCTCACTGAAGGACAGCAAGGCAAGTTTGATGGCTCCAAAAGAATGGGAACTGTTCTAGTCAGTGCCTTACAAGGCAACTGTTCTGCTGAGTTAGGAACCACAGCCCTCTCCTTCTTGTTAAATGTGAGCACTCTTTTCCTAAAGACTAAAATCTGTAAGGGCATGAACCACTGAGCAGCACTAAATAAATAAATAAATAAACACTGTTCTGCAAAATATGAAACTCTCTGTCTCTCCTTTGTCTTCCTGAGCAGCTATTCCTCAGGATTCGATCCCTTCTCTGAAAGGCCTTTTCATTTATAAATGTTCCGTTCTTAAATCAGGTAGCCTCCCTGACCCCCCCGCAAAGCTTCCCATGGTGATTCTCGGCCATCAACCTCCATAAAATATGGACTTTAAAAATGGTTTGCCTGTAGCAGTAGTTAATATTTTGTCTATCCTTATTTGAATAATTAATCTTCAAGGCCTAACAAACTTTCACTGACGGCTTTCTGCAAGGCACAAAAAATTTCTCCTGGCATTCTCAGCCTACTTCAGTAAAGGTGAAGTTGTAAAATATGCACTTAATGCTCAGAATACAAATTGGAGTTTGCAATGTAATAGCAAATTCACAGAGAATTCACATTTGTAGATCAAGGTTTCCTGAGATGCCATAGGAACTCTGAGGCAAAGTTATGCACTTTTGTCACAAAATCCGTATCAAAAACATACTTAAAACCTAAATCCTCTGATTTCACTTTCATAATTTTAATATGAATTATGTATATTCTCTGGGAGTATCTTCACCCTCTTTTCCCTGAAGTCTTTTCTTCTACGGAAATATGACTGATAAGGGCCATTAGGATTATCATTGTTTAACAAGGATCTGTGCATGTTTGCATAAATAATTAGATTCAGAACACTTCTTCTAAATAAGGACTCTATATCAGCATTTGCAAAATGCTCACACCAAGTTTCTAGTGCTTGTGTTCAATTCTAATTTAAAGTTTTCTTAACTCAGTGGCATCAGTTATCATTTCCTGTGACAGAAATTTTCATTCGTGTTCAAAATAATAATTTTTGCTCGACATTTCAGTTCTAAGCCCCTATCTTTACCCTTCCCTCCCCCCCTCCCCCAGGAATTATGATTCAGCATCCCTGATGGGAGAGGTGTGGCTCACGGAGAGTATCTAGTAACATGACATTATGGATGCTGACAAACATGGCCTGTTCAGTGGCTCACTTTGTATCATCCACACCATCATGCATTTTTTGCTCTGCTTGCAATTTTATCATGTTGTAATACAATACATCACATGCCACAGGGCATTTCAGGGTAATGTGGCTTGTTTGGATGAAATATATGTTTCTGAAGAGAGCTGGAACCCTTTAGAAAGAAACTTGTTTTTCCATGGCTGTGTTTCCAGAATGCAGAACAATTCAGTGATTGTTGAATTTTCTCCAGGCAACCAGTTATGTACTGTTGACCTTCCCAGCATTTGGGACCTTTGAAAATCTGATGGCGAGAGAGGCTGGAAAATTTTGAGAGACTTTTCTCTCCACACTTCAGAAAGGTTTCAAATATATTTTAGACTGGGGAAAGTTGTTGGTTATGGACTACTCTTTGCAAGCACTCTCTTCATCTTGACTAATCACCTTTTTTCTGACATCCATGTTGTCAATGGCAAGTGAGATGTAATCTTCCTCTCCATCTCCTTATGGCAGTATAAGGGTAGGAAAGCTAGCACATAAACAAAGATGGTAAAGATTTCCACACAGGAAAACAAAACTGATGCAGGACATCAGCCCTTGGTCCTCTAAATAAGCACCCATTGACACAAGCAGGAAGTCAAAAACAGGGAACTCAATCAATCTCATAATATTTAAACCAGAGGATACTTTTGAAATGTCATTGCACTTCCTCAGATCTTTTATTGGCTGAGAATTTTCTATTTCACTATTTTTAGCCATTTGTACTTGGGTCATACGAATAAACAAGTGAATGCAGACCGGGCAGAGAATGCCTCTGTGCTCATGATGGATGCATTAAACCACACTCCTAACAGAATGGGAGAAGAAAGCAATGAAACAACAGTAAAGGAGAAGTAAGAATAATGTGATCCTAGTCCTGTAGCAAAGGGTCATACCAAGTGCATGTATCTATGCATGTTACACAACTGCAAGTTCCTAGTCACTGGAGAACACTATGGAGATCCTTGAATAGCTTTTCAAAACAGTACAGTATCCCTTTCCCATATTTTTAGTATAGACCTCCTGACTATCCATCTCAGCATGACAGTTTCTCAGAAACAGAGAGCGGAGGGCTGGAAACAGTCTGCAGCAAAAATCCGAAATTGTGGAAATATTACTATTACTGAGATAAAGAGATGGCAATATAATGTAAACAAACAATTTGTAAGAGTTTTGAAAGCAAGTTCCCACCTCTTCTGGATACACAAAAGTGCTACAGAAGGGACTGTCATTTACAGCATAAATAGTAGTACTGTTAACCTCAATTTAACAAGAGAAGGAAAACTGCTATACATGTCAAACACCATAGCATTGTATAAATGATCCACACAGAACAGAAAATCAAGGCACAGAAATAATGTGGAAGGAGTTATTCCTCAAGGAAGCTCGGGCCAGAAGCCCATATACAGGTATGCCCGATCCCCTTTGCCAAACCAGTGCTGAAACATACTCTATGGTAAATAAATTATAATAATTCCCCAAATTCTTCATATCTCATACAGTAATGATTCAGTCAATAATCCCTTTTCACTCTATAGCAGCTGCTGTGAGTCACTGTGTTTCTCACTCACAAACTCAGAATGTCAAATAAGGCTGCTTGGGAACATAGCTCCCCTCCAGCAGG